TTTATTGATAGAAATGTTATTTCTAAAGATGCAATTATTATTATATAATTATACATCTGTCACCGTAATGGCATAAGTTACAGGGTGCCGTCATTTTGCGGTATTTTATGGAGTATTTTCATCCTACCATATAAGGAAATGCAAATTCCAAATATGGAATTTTTACGCGCATAAGTGTCCTCTAATAATAAAAACAAACATGGCACCACCAGGGTTTGACTGTACTTCACACAAAGAAGTTCGCTGAATCTGTTCTAAACTTTTTGGATTTCTACATTCCCATGATGTATCCTTGGAAGGAAAAGATGTATAATAATAAGGTTATTACAAGGATACCTAAAGGTATGCACTCAGACAGTACACAGTTGCATCGGCCTCTGCTGCGCGTTGGTCGTACTACCTTGGTGCATACTTTGAGCTATCCTCGTAATAACCTCATAGTTTATTCTTGGTTTTTTTCCTAGGTGGTGTTGGTATTTTACTTGGTTTATTTTATCGGCTAAGTACTCTGGTATTTGTCACTATATACTGGTATATCTTCTTTCTTGACAAGACTGCATGGAATAATCATTCGTATTTGTTTGGGTTAATAGCGTTTCAGATGTTACTATGCGATGGTAACAGATACTGGTAAGGCTTTCTTTGTTTCTACCATCACCTAGGTTTTATGCATAAAGTGTTTATCACCACTACAATTGATAATAGAACAAGAAATTTTCAATTTAAACTAAATCATAATACCGGGGGTATTCTTTATACAAACAAAGATTTATATTCCATGAACTCTGGGCTGGTTACATCACCAAAATGCAGTTTCTGTGAAACGTATGATGAAACATTGATTCATCTATTCTGTGAGTGTATAGTTGTAAAGACTTTCTGGCAAACTATTTCGGTGCGTTTCGCTCATCTGTTAGCCCTTAGTAATATGTCCAACCAAGATATTATTCTTGGGAACAAGGATTTTTCGAATATAACAAATCATATTATTCTTCCAGCTAAACGCCATATCTACTTTTCTAAAATGAGAAATGAAAAACCTTCTTTCCATGGATGTCTATATCTCATTAGGCAAGTTTATAATTTTGAAAAAGAGATAGCGATAGGGGGAGGCAAATTAGCGAAGCACACTGAAAAATGGGAATCATTTAATATGCTGTGACATTGACATACCCACCCCCCTGTTTTTCTTTTTTTTTCTATTTACTTTATATTCATATTCTTATTATCTCGTTGCCATATTTTTTTCTATGTGGTTAACGTAAAAATAAAATAAAATATAAAAAAAAAACTGTTTATTTCCTAGATAGTCTTGCATTACATCTCATCTCCTGTTGCCCTTTCTCCCATATACTTTTCAGTTATTCGTGGAGAGCACATCAAGTTCTAGCAAGCTATGTATTATAGTTGCACTTTAAGAGCACAATTGTTGGAACTACTGTAAAAGTATTAATTATTCACTGGGTTTTAATTTTGTTTATTTCGCTGACTGGAAAATGCGCTAAATTAAAACCCAGTGAAGATGTGAAATTTAGCATAGAACACATTATCTAAATGATAAAACCGTGAATTTAAAACCCATAGAATATGCCTGAAATTGTAAATAAGCGAACTTTAAACCCAGTGAATATTAGTCATTTTACAATATATTTTATTGCTATTTCATCAACAGTGTCTCGTTTTGTATCGTTATTGCAGGTCACTTGATGGGTTACGAAATCCCCAAATCAGGAATGCTGAGGTCCCGCTTTGGAATTATGCTTTACTTAGAGCCCAGGTACGATATTTACAATGTGGACCAGTATATACCCTACGTCACACTTTGTCATAATTTAAATTTTTGTCAACCAACATACGAATGTGTAATAACAAATGTTGCTATGACAACATTGTCGATAAATTTTGTTAAATAACAGTAGTACATGCAAATACATGTACATTTAATAACAATAGCAATGTACAATGCCGTTATTAGTCCCCGTTTGAACGAAGTCCGAAAATGGGGACTTATGATTCAGTCTCCGTTTGTACATCTGTGCGTCCGTCCGGATTCATATCTCAGAATCCCTTGGACCTATTCCGTTCATTCTTTGCATGTGCCTAGTTCTTTATGTGGGACATATGCACATGCAGTGGTTTAGCAGTTCAATTCAAAATGGTCGACTGGCAGCCATCTGGTTTTTTGAAAATGTCGTATTTTGGACATGCTTTGTCAGTTTTCATTCAAATTTCGTACATAGATCATACATGTAAGGATACATGTCCCCGACCGTCCGTGAGTTCCTGAGTCTGTCCCACCGTCCATCCGTGTGTCCGTCCATGCGTCAGTCTGTCCAGAGTCATATTTCAGAATCCTGTGGACCGATTTCGTTCATTCTTTGCATGTTCTTAGTACCTTATGTGGGACATATGCTCATGCAGTGGTTTAGCGATTCAATTCAAAATGGCCCACTGGCAGCCATCTTGTTTTTTGAAAATGTTGTATTTTGGACATGCTTTGTCAGTTGCCATTCAAACTTGGTACATAGATTATACATGTTATGATACATGTTCATGACGATTTATTTCGCAATTGGATCAAAGATGTTCGACTGGCAGGCATCTTGTTTTTTTTTTTTTATGCGGTATCTTGGACGTGCTCTGTCAGTTTTCATTCAAATGTTAGGATGCATGTCCATGAAATTTTTTTTCAAAATCTGGTCAAGGATGGCCGATTGACAGCCATCTGACTTTTTGGCCTAACTACTATATTTCCACAATTTATGTACCATTTTCATTCGTATTTGGCACATACATCATACTTATCAGTGTGATTCATAATCAGATCAAAGATGGCCTAATAACGGCTGTTTTTATTTTTGGTCATATTACTACTACACAGAACA